CAGCAACAAGTTAAGGTGCCGTTTTTCTCTACAAAAAACCCCCATGATTTATTTTATTATATTAAGAGGAGAAAATAACCAAACTTAGAAAAGAGGCATATGTGACACACAAAGCCCAGATCCTGTAAAGCTGTTTTTTGGCTGGTCAGCACTCCAAATTAAGTTACAGCTCGCACCTCAAAGTCAGTCAGTACCACTGCACCTCTAAGAATTCTTACAGGAATTACTCCATTAGATAAGTAGAATGATTTCCAATTAAGTATGCACATCATGATGTCAATCCCCTGAGAAGCCCACTTTCAAGGATAACTGTGCAAAGAAAGCACTGATGCCTAATTCTAAAATCCCAAATTATTAAATTCTCAAAGAAAAAGAAAATAATGAATATTTTTCATTTACCATAACTACACAATGTCAGGACTTGCCCCAGAATGATTTACTCACTTCTTCCCTCTCACTTGCTTGCAATGTTTAAGCCATAACTCTTCAGTGATGCATTTCAGAAGAAATGCTTCACAACTCTCAAATAATCCATAAGGAGCTAAACAGGACCTGTTCTGGAGGACAAAGGCCTGGTGGTAAGGCACTAGACTTCAACCTTTCAGTGGCTTATAACAGCCATAACAAGGCAAACAAAATAAATAATAAAAATGAAACTGGGAAAGATACCTTGATGTTGTCCTTTCAACCTCCAGCCAACCTGAGATGTCATGGAAGCACTGAAGCAGCAAAGAGATGATGCTGCTTAGACAGCAAAATCTCCATTTCTCCCTGACCTACAAATCAGAAGCTAACAGATCAGAGGTGCACTGGTGTACATCCCCACGGTATCTCATGGAAACCCTGCTGCAGCTTCTGAACCAAAAATGCATGTGCTCAAGATGCACAAAAAACATAACTATAAATAACACCAGCTGAAGCATGCACAGAAGATTCTGACAACCCAGTCAAGGACCTTATGGAACAAAATTCCTGAATTGCCTAAGAAAGCCATCATATCTGAAGAGATGAAACACTGCATGGAGCTGAGAAACAGAAAGGTCTTCCCTGGGCAATATCAACTGGACAGTGAGGCAGAGCAGCACAACCCTGCCCATGTGTTCTTACTGCACCTCAGTACCCTGGAATATTGCCACCAGCAGCATCCCCACCACACAATGTTGCCTGAGAATTACTTTCTTGGGCCACTCAGTCTGGAATCTGTGATCTCAAGATTACAATTTTGCTCTTTCTAAAGGTACTCTACAGTCAAAAATCACTCGTCTCATGGTAATCAGTATCAGCTGATTACAGAGGATTAACACTTGCACAATCAGACAAAGATATCCCTCACAAAGAGGTTTTTGGACATAGAACTGCATATACTCAGGCTCATAGGTTTTCCACAGCATACTTTTGCTAACAAACATTGTACATCTTGTGCAAAATGTGTACAATTGAGAAAACACAGATTTAGGTATCTAAAGTACAAGTACTCACTGATCAGTTTTTTTTCCAGGCTAACTCCTCAGAGGGCCTGATTTTGAAAAATATGGTCAGGCAGATCCCTTGACTTCACTGTGGCCAACTTCTTGTAACCAACTCTAGCTGGCTCTTATTTGGCTGGAACCAGTAACATTTCCACCAGTTTTATCTAGGTTGGATAAAAACCACACAACTACAAAGCAAAAGATAAGGACATAAATGCAGTATCAACTTTAACAGAATTGGATGAATTACCACTTTAAAAAAAAAACCCAAACCACATCAATAAAGCCAATCACTTCAGGGGTATAAAGGATCCACTATTTTCAGAAAGAAGCATTTGTTCCAACAGTGGCAACAGTACTGACAACTACTATAAGAAAATATATGTTTTTTGTAGGAATGAGGAGTGACTAGATGTGAGCTTCATTAACTAAACTGTTCTCTACAAGAGACTAAAATACTTAAAAATACGACCCATATATACATTCCTATTGGGTCTCTTGCACATTTTTTTTATCCCCATGATTAACTGATATTCCAAGAAATGCATTTATTTTGGTGGGTCAAAATGTTGGACTACCCTGAAACACAGTGGCAATTGATGACTCTAAAACATTATTTTGTTTGATCAATGTGTATAAACTAATGAGTCATAGATGCTGTCCAGTTACTACTCAATGATTAGCCATTTACAGACCACACACCAAATGCTACTTCTTGAAAATGTGACTGCCAGACGGTTGATTGTCAGGCTTTCAAAAGACTGGACATTACTAAATTGAGCTGTCTGTTCTTAGAATGTTGCACAAAACCAGCCACAAAAAGAACTGGTTTCTCTAGAATTAGTTATTTGTCTTACATACTATGCAACACAAACGTGACCCAACCTAATGAAGAAGATGCAGCCCTCCAGAACCTCAGGAGACAGCACCAGATGCAGCTGCACAAATTGTTTTGGACTGCCTGAGAAACGGAGAAACAAGGAACAAAACACTTGCACAGCAGTGTTTTTGTTTGGGTTTTACATGAGCTACCTGAATGAAATGAAACCCAATTCATTATGTAAGTTGGTTGCTATTTTTCCAGATGCTGAGGTGGCTAACAACCACGCTCCAGAACACAGGTAGACCACATCCTACCTGGAATGTAAGAGACTACTTCAAGACCTCCCTATTCTTACTTTAATGCTTAAACACTGATAATATTGCCAATGCCCTTTCCTGAAGAAAATGTGCTTGTCAAATTATATGTATACTCTGAATATCTTGTATTACGGAAAGAATACTTTTTCTAAAAAATGAGGATCTTAACAGAAATCTCACTGCTAACATTAAGTCTGAATAAGGTAACTGCATGCAACACATCTTAAATTCCTTCCCTATTCATATTGGTGTAACCCCAGAGTTGGTCCTTTCCTCCTTATTCTGTAGAAGCAGACAAGAAACTAAAAAATTTGACCTAAACTTTCTGATTTGAAGAGTACTGTGATGGCTACAGGATACCCTCACAAGACACTGTCATACTCTGGTTAAACTGGAAAGACATAAGCTAAATGTAATCTCACACTTTGTTTACAATGTTTGTGTCAATGATTTATACCCACACAATAAAATATTAAGAGCAACAAACCGTAAACCTGGCAGCACAAGAACTCTAACAGGTTTTCCTTGCAGTCTATCAATTCTGACACTACCCAAGATCCACCAAAAGCACTGCAGAAATAACGTGTTGCATTACATAAAATCAAATACAGAAGCTTAGTTTTATATAACTGTAATATGCATACATATGGTCTTCAGGACAAGATATCTTCTCTAAACTGCAGTTCATACAAAATTCCAAGTATAAGCAAAAGATAGCAATCCTGCCATTTCTAGTGCAGTATCTTAAACTCAATATAATGGCAATCTCTCTCTATTTGTAGCTCTCAGTGGTTCTTCCAGTATTAAAGACTTGCTGAAACTGAAATCCATTGCAGATTTTGAATTAATAAGTGAACATCAAAGAAGACACTAGTTTTCATCTATTTTAGCCAAATAGTAGGTCAAAACTATCATCACATTAATTGCAATTCAGTTATTTTTCTTGACAGCAACTATGGCATAAAAATAAAATCAAAGTCAACTTTGTAAAGATCATCAGTGTCAAATAAAATACATTCTGTGCATCTCTGAACAATACACGAGGATAAATCACGCAGTGAAACTATGCAGTCAAACTATTGTTCTTCCAATCCTTGCCTTCCCAGAACATTCCTTTAGCCAAGCAATGGGAAGATAAACCCATTTGCCTAATGGAGCATATAATTTAAATATTTCAGACAAGCATTTACAGAGATGTTGCTTAAAATAGATTTCACAGCCATCCATCCAAATCTATTGTACGATGAAGATCCCAGCATAGTTCACAACTTATTTTTTCTATACAAACTCTAAACTCTCCAGCCCTTGCAGCTACTTTAGTCACCAGGCATACTCTGTATTACTTTATTACAATCTTCTTTCCATAGCAAATTTAATACAAAGCTGCAATTTTCCTCTTTGGCAGTGCCTTGCAACATTTCCAAACCCACTAAAATTTCAGATTTTACTACTGCACCATGCAGTCCTGCACAGTTCTGTAAACAAAATACACTGGAATTTATGAAACCTTAAAGGGATAGTGTACTCCATACAGACTGCAGTATTCCATCCACAGGAAGATGCAATCAGCCAATGTCAATATTCTGTCATTTAGAGTCATGGTTTTCTTACCATAAAACATTCCCATTAATACAAAACACTAGGGTTGGGTTTTTCCCCCCAAACTTGTATCTAGGGTTTAAGCTATTAATATGATAACAGGTCTTCACTTGATAAAAAAATCTGCTTATGCTTTTTTTTTTCAACATGCTACGAATCACATTTTGTATTGTGACCTACCTAAGGCACAACAGCAGCTCGTAACAAGCAAAGTGCATGCTAACAAGAATTCCCCCTTCCACATACACAAACAAGTACCTACATGAAAAAAACAGAGAAAGGGAAAAGGACAGTCTTTACTATTTACATACTAGGAGTGAGCATTTCAAAGAGTTGATCAACTTCCACAAACGTCAGATTTCAATCGTGTACCTCAATACTGCAGGGAAAGCGAAAAGTAAAAAATAACCCCAACTTCGGCTTTTAAGCCTGTCATGGATTTCACCCTTGTGAAAAAACAGGTTAGTTTTGTCTGGTCTTTGCTACAAAGAGAGTCATCTCCTATGCACGCCACAAACAACCTGAGCGATGACTGCCCTGCAGGACAAGAGCTGCCCATCATATTGCAGGATTACCTCAGTGTTGGTTTGTTTAGGGGTTGCCCGTGTGTGAGCGGCTTGCGTATGTAATTCAGGCATTCGCTCGCATCAACTCCTCGCTGCGCATCTCACGATAAACTGATGGACGCTGCTGAACCTGAATCACCAACCTTTAGCGAACAAAGAAGTCTAAGCCCGCAACCGTGATGCAAAATCACCCCAAAACCTACTACACCCTGCAAGAACCTCTCACCGAAAATAGCCCGGCAAGCTCATTCATTCTTCCCGACCCAGCGATCCGCTCACCATCTCCTCCGTCTTCTCTTATCTCTCTGCCCTCCGCTTATTTTCCTCGCTGCTGCTGCTGCTGCTGGATTCAAGGAGGCGGTGTACCAAAAAAAAAAAAAAAAATTAAAAAAAAATAGAAAGGGAGGAAAAAAAAAAGGCCAAGTGTTCCCTGCAGCAGCGGGCAGGCGCTGGACAGCAGGTCAGCCCCGGCAGCCCCGGCGCTCCGCTCCCAGCGCGGGGCCGCTCCCGCCGCTCCGCCCGCCCCCCGCGCGGTCCCCGGGAGAGCGCCCGGGCTGCACCGGCTCCTCCCGCCCGCTCACCGCCGACACCGCCGAGGAGTCGCAGCCGGGCTGATTTTCCCCTCCCACCTCCACATTCCTATTTACAAAGGGTATCCAAGACCGTCTTTATCCAACGGGGGGCTGGGGGGGAATAGTTGAGGGAGGGGGAGGTGGAAGCGATCATTAACCCTTTTCTTGCGTTTACCTTTTGCTACTGGGATTTTTTTTGCTCCGGTTTTGGAGCGCACGGGGGAATCCCCCTTTCTCTACAGAGCACATGGACTCGCTGCCATCGGGCCCCGCCGGGTCCGCGCTCCCGCAGCGCGGCTTGGCCGCCCGCCACCCCGGGGCAGCACAGCCCTCCCCTAAAAAAGGTCCAAGGGCACGGCCGAAAAACGCACGCCCTCCCTAAACCACCGCTGGGAAACGAGAGGACCGCACGGCACAGACAGGCCGTAAGGGCAGGGCCCACCCTGCACCGGTGTTTTTAAGGGCGGCGTTCGCGCTGCCCCGCGCTCGCACCTGGGGGAGCTGCGCGCCCCGCCCGCCCCCGCGCGCCAACCGGCCCCGCCAGTTCCCCATTGGCCGCTCGGCCGCGCTCGCGCCCGGCAACCGCAGCCCCATTGGTGCGGCCCCGCCCCCGCCGCCGCGCCATTGGCCGGCGGGGCTGTCCGTCAGGGAGCCGGGCGGCCCCGCCCCTCGGCGGGCGGGGGAGCAGGGCCGGGGTGGGCACGGGGAACCGCGGGGTTGGGGCTCGGCCCGGCCCTCACGGCACAGCCGGGCTCGGGACGCGGCCCGGCCCTCACGGCACAGCCGGGCTCGGGACGCGGCCCGGCCCTCACGGCACAGCCGGGCTCGGGACGCGGCCCGGCCCTCGGAGCGCTGTCGCTGCGCGCTCGGCGGGAGCGGCAGGGACCATTGTGTCACCTCCCGGGATGGGTGCGCGCTCCCGCCCTGCCGGCCCGCTGAGCCCCGCGCAGCGCTTCGAAGGGTCCCTGCGCTCGGGGAACTCGCCGGTGCCTCGCCCAGCTGCCCGCGGGGGGATCCGGGCCCAGCTGGTGTCCCAAGGGCTGTGGCAGCGGGCCCGCCTGGTGCAGCAGCCAGGGGATGCTGGCACGCGATCCGCGTCCGTTTGTCCAACCTGACCTCGCCGTTTGCAGGGGTCTGTGCAATGCGGTCGTCGCCTTCTCTTTGATAACCTAAATGCCTTGAGCTTTCCATGCCCTCATTTTGTGTCTTGTTATCTATCCCCTTCATTAATGTTCCTCCTTTGAATCATTTCCTGTGGTTTCCCCCCTCCCTAACCGTGGGTGCCAGAAATGTTTCAGCGTTCCAGTGTCACTGTGCTGTGGACAAAGGCAGTGTCACTCCCTTGTCTCCTCTATATGCTGTATTTTATACATTAAGTGATTAGTTTAGTCCAGTTTACCACAGTATTACCCTGAGAGGTCACATTGCAATATTTATATATAGTAACAGCTAAATTATCTTCTGAAGTACTTTTTGCCAAGGCAGCCCCCATCCCTGCATTCTTTATTTCCAGATGTGTTTCCTCACGTTTTCTGATACTAAAAATGCAATTTATTGGACTGGAATTATTTAATTGGGCATATCAGATGATTTTGTACCCAATCGGCCATGTGAATTATCCACTCATCTGCTAAGCTACAGATTTTACTAGTAAAGATCTTGCCTCATCCAGGCAATTGATAGAGATACCAAATCGGATCAGAGCAAGAACTCATCTCTAGAATACTCCGTCTGGGTCCCTGATGTCTCCTCTTCACAACCAGTTTTCGAGAGATCTCTCATGGCAAAGATACTTAATCCATCTAAGGAGTGTTCTATGCACTCCAAACAACGTGCATTCCAGCACATAAAGAACAAGGTTTAAACAGATGTCAGGACTATTTCTCTTTTCATTTTTGAGATTTCGTCAGGACAATTCTGCAAGGTTTTCACTAAGCTTCTGCTTGTTTTTCAGCTTTCTCCAAGACAGATTCTAACCTGACAATCAGTACTACTCTCTTCATTAAAATAAAGTGGACACAGAATCACAGCCTGCTTGGGATGAGAGTATTCAAGTTTGACAAACAATGGGAGCTATACACAGATCCCGTAGAACAGGGTCTAAAAGGGACAACAATAACCAAGCTGTTTTAGGCAGAACAAAAAGTAGACACAAGAATAGAAGGAAGAGTCTGAATGGCCACCAAATCCAGTATTCACAAGTCCTTTCAGCAGACTGTTTTTGTGAAACCTCTTAAAAGGCTTTTTAAATGACTCTAAGGTTATTCTAACTTCCCATATGTATTAAAAATAACAAAAAAGTAATTAAAAACCACCATTAACTTTAGAGCTTATGGACAGTTTTTCTTCCCATGGACATTGCTGCTACTGAAAATATGCAGACTTATTGTCTGAGGATTTTTAAGGGGTATCAAGCACAGAAGGGAAATAATCTTTGGTCACAGTGATGAGTCTATACTTGAAGCCTCAAACAGAGTGATAGAAAGAACAATACATTACAATTAATGTGCATGCATTTTACCTATTTCAATGTAATGGAGATTTGTATAATTTGTCTACTTATTCATCAGATGACTTTGGAATAACAACTCTGTGCCTGAAAGCATAAATACATTTTAGGTTTATATGTTTCAAGGTAATAACTACAATCTATTATTGTATTTCAGAAGCAATAGTACAAAGAATGATGATCATATACTCACCCAGTAATTTTCATCAGCAGATCTCAACAGACCTTGTGAAGGTCAATGTGATCATCCCACTGATGATGATGGAGAAAAAAAGCATTGAGATGAACTTGCTCAATGTCATGTGCCAGAGCAGTGGTAAAGCTGACACTTGACTTCAGGTTTTCGGCATCCAGGATGAAAGGTTTTGCCCTGCAAGCCACGTTACACATCCATATACCCCTGGGAGTTCTTTTAATTAGCGTTTTGTGTCTTTTGTGTGCTGTGTTTATCAGTGTTAGAACCTAGAAGAGCACTCAAGGCTTTTATGGTGTTTCCTTACAGGCTTCACCATAAGAGATTTTGTAATTTACAGGGTTCCACTGAAACCCTCTATTGCCACCTGTGAAGAAAAAGTCAGAAATTTTCAGATCTTGTTTGAAAAACCCATGAGTAAGTTAATATTTAATTGTGACAAAAAAGTGGCATGGATCCAATCTCAGCCTAAATCTGCAGATCTAGGTAAAATTACTAAATGTTTGATTATCAGTTCTGATCGTGCTGTGCTTAATAACTTGACATTGTCACTTGTATTTTCCTCAATCCTCAGGAAAGCTGTCCTGGCTGGAATTTAGCCCGTTGCAAGCTCAGAGCTCAGTGACTTTGGGGCCCTCCTGGAAGTGGAGTCTGTGCTGAAGGTGGTCATGGGAACAGCAGTCCACGGAGCAGCCTTGATCTAGAAGGGCCAGGAGCTACAAACTCGCTTGTTCTAGAGGGGCTGGGAGTTACTTCCAAACTCGCCAAGTGTCAACGGTCCAGTCCTGGGTGTATCCGTCCTTGGAGGTGTGAGCCCTGTGCACCTCAGATCAAACATTTTAGGTTATTATTTCACACTGTCATAGAATCATCACAGTTGGAAGAGACCTTTAAGATCATCAAATCAGTGTGGCACTACCACTGTAACCTCTAAATCACATCACCCAGCGCCACGTCTTAAACACCTCCAGGGATGGTGGCTCCACCAGGGTAAGGTGTGTGGATCCCAGGGAAGGTGTGTCCATGCAGGGGAAGGTGTGTGGATCCCAAGGAAGGAGTGTGGATCTGGGGGAAGATGTGTGGATCCCAAGGAAGGAGTGTGGATCTCAAGGAAGCTGTGTGGATCCCAGGGAAGGTGTGTGGATCCCAAGGAAGCTGTGTGGATCCCAAGGAAGCTGTGTGGATCCCA